TTTCTCTCCTTCTCCCCACTCACTCTTTCCCTCCGTCTCTCTCTAAAATAATTGAATAAATTATTTTTATGGGGCGCCTGGGCGGCACAGTTGTTAACCGACTGCCTCCGGCTCAGGTCATGATTCCAGGGTCCTGGGATCAAGCCCTGCATCGGGCTCTCTGCTCAGCAGGGAGCCTGCTTCCTCCTCTCTCTCTGCCTGCCTCTCTGCCTACTTGTGATCTCTGCCTGTCAAATAAATAAATAAAATCTTTTTTAAAAGTTTTTAATTTAAAAAAAAAAATTAAAAAAAAAAAAACCAGAATGAGGATGCTGGATTAATAAATTCCTTTGGACTCAGAAACATGCTTTAAAATGATCCAAACCTACCAGCCCTCCTGTAGCACACATCTTAAGGCTGAATATGAGTATCACCACTATAGGTAAGATATTCTGTGTGAAAAGTGCTGAGCCCAGCTCCCGGCACATGGTAGGTGCCCAGACCTACAGGCTAAAGATGTGCATTCAGACAGGCCGGGGTTCGAGTCACAGCCCTGTCCCCCACCTAGCGACACCGTCTGAAACACAGCCCCTTCCCTGAGCCTCTCAGTTCAATCTGTAAAAGGCACCTCCACACGGCTATTTAAGAAATTACACGCCAGACCCTGCCCGGTACCTGCTGGCTTACGGTGGGTAATCGTTCACGTTTTTCTACAGTTTTCCAATTTCGACAGAATTTCTCAAATTCCAATGCCATCTCCTCCCTAGCACACCTTGTATACAGATTCCCAGAGCACAGAACGGACTTTGCCACAGTGTCAGCCCTCGTTGGCCTGCACGGTCTTCTCCTCTGTTCTCCCTGGAGGGAGACTCAGGAAACTCGGCCTGAGTGGGAAGAACAAGACAGAGCCCGAACCTGGGGTACATACCCCACACTCCCAGCCATCACACCCGTGGCCTTTGGGAGACTCCTCCCCAGGGCCACTTCATGCCTGTGTGCTCTGGGTCCTAGCACAGGGCCCCAAGCTCAGAAGGGTCCTAGACTGGGCTCTACGTGTGCCTGCTGCCATCTTGAAATTCTTAATTTTTTAACAAGGGCCCCCCATGTTCATTTTGCACCATGTACCACAAACATGCAACCAATCCTGCTCTTTTCCACCCTGTAAGACTTAAGATGAAGGTCACTTCTTCTGAGAAGACCGAGCAGCAACTCTCTGACTCGCTCCCATAACCTCCCACGACCCCTGGCTCATACCCCCATTTATTTATCCACCCCTACCAACGTTTAACGGACCACTGTTACAACACCATCACCACTGGCCTTCTTGAGCCCACACCAAATCCCAGGCACAGTGTTATGCTCTTCTCATCCAAGAGTTATATTTAGAGCAACTCTAAGGTAGGCACTATTACTACCCCAATTTACTGACAGGTTAAGGACCTGCCCATGGAGCTGGGTGCAGGGGGAAGCAGGACACTTGGGTCCAGGCAGGGCACAGGCTCAGAACCATTTTCTTCAACTGCCAGGCAATGTGCTCAGAACCAGGAATACAGTGATCAAGAAAGGGACAGTCTTTATGACAGACGCCCCACTCCTACCCCGGACATATAATTATTAGTTGTATTTTTCAACTATGTATTTAAATGTCTGCACACTTCACCCAGAATCCCCAGCTCCTTGGGTTTATCTCTGTAATACAGAAGCCTACTGTAAACTTCAGACGTGTGATAGTCAAAAAAATTCTCAAGAAAGCAAAGAAAAAGTGGTTTTGACATGACATATTAAAATATTTCAAACACAGGACGCCTCTCCCTCTCCCTCTGCCTGCTGCTCTGCCTACTTGTGCTCTGTCAAATAAATAAAATCATTTTTTAAAAATTTTTAAAAATTTAATAACAAAATAAAATACTTCAAATATTTCCTATTAAACCATGACAATGACATTAAAAATTAATCTAACTGGTGTGTTATTTTAGGTAACAAATTATTTGAATGAAATAAGATGATCTAAATGGAAGTAGCTATTAATCAAAACAAAAAAACTATCATCCATTTTTCCTCACAGTGATGATGCCTTACTTTCAGGATTTTTAGTTGTTTAAAATCCACTTTTTTCTTGAAGTTTGGAATTTTTTTTTCAACGTGATTACCATAATGTCTCTAAAACTCTGGTCAAGTCCCAACAAGACTTGTGACATTGGCCTTCCTAAAACTATATTAACTCTTGCTGAAAAGGCATGTCCTGAATCTAATTTTGACACATCAGACAAACACAAGTTGAGGGACAAGCCACAAAGCAACTTCCCTGAAACTGGCCAGTTCTTTTCAAAGTGTCAACATCGTATCAAAGAAAATCAAAGAGCTATGCCAGGCTAGAGGAAATTAAGGAACAAGGACAATTAAATGCCACTGGGAAAACCCATCCTGATTTCTGTACCTGGGAAAAAAAACGTTGTTAAAAACAGAATATTTTAGATGCTGGGGGCTTGGGGATGGAAAAAGCAAAAAACAAAAACACGGGACACGTTTTCAGGAACAAATGGCAAATTTTGCATAAGGACTGTAGATTGGATTCATAGTAATAATGTACCAATGTTGAATTCCCTGACCTCTCGCTGTGAGCCGGCTGTAGGCCTGGCAGTTGACTTCCCTGTCCCGCACATTTCCCTGATTTTGATCATTGTAGCGTGTTATGTGAGAGAAATGCCCTATGAGGAATTAAGCGTGGAAGTATTTAGGAGTAAAGGGGATAATGCCTGCAACTTAATTCTCCAGGGAGGGAAGAACTATTAAAAAGCAAACATGGAAAAATGTTAACATTTGGAGTCCACCACAGGATTTTTGTAACTTTTTTCCTAGTTAGAAATCACTACCCACCCACCCACCCTTTTTTTAATTTTATCAGCACAAGTCCTGGAAATGATGCAGAATGAAGATAAACATCATGGCATCTAGTGATCAAGGATTCAATATTTTGGTTTCTAAAGGTTTCTGAACTCTAAAAACTGTGTTGGAAAATACATTTGAAGACAGCATGTGATACAAAAGGAACCGGTCCACACTGGGTGGATACATGTATACATGTTTGTTTCATTTCGCATTTAAACTTACTAAATGTGAAAAGCCTCACTCAAGAAAATTAGTAAGTAATTAAACAGGTCAAAAAAGGCTTCTTTCTCTTCCTCTCTCTGAAATCCTCCATTTGGGGCTTCCTACTCTGGCCCTCCCCCACCCCTTGCCTTCAAGTGTATCAAATAACTAAACTCACCTCGATCACTTTCTGAGCTGACAGTTTCTTCAGTGCTTTTTGGGGGGCTTTCAAAACAATCGGGGCCGAGCAGGGGCTGGGTTAATATTCAGAACTCCGCTCGGTTTCCCCTACTGTCGCATTGGCATGACAATGGAAACCATGGACCACAAAAGGAGACCAACAAAGGAAGACAAGTTTTTAATGCTAGAGCCATCTGCCAATTCTCCTTAGGATCTTTCCAAGAACCGAGTGAAGATAAAGCGGGAGCCGAGAAGAGGGTATGCAGGGGAGGGCAGAAAAATCATTCACGGGAAAAGCAATTGCAATATGAAAAGAACCAAAGAAGGTTTGGAGCCTGGATAGATGAATGAATGGAATCCCTCTAAAGAGATCCACCGCACCCTCTCCCCAATGGGGCTTTTGTCGGTTGCCTAGCATTTTAAATGTTATAGTCAGAATATGTTATTAAGGGAGGATTTAATATACACAAACCACAAAAAACACCCTGCAGAGTGGTCTTCTGATTACCCACGTGGAAAGCCCAAGCCACTTGCCTTTGCAAAGATTATGCTGGGCTTTCTTTCTTTACATAGCAAAATGTCCTAAATACAGTAGTTTAGGGATAATAAAGCATTTCTATACCAACTCTATATCCCGCACTTCTCCAAGAGACTTGCGAAATGTTAAGACCACCAACTATGAAAATCTATTTAAATGCACTAAAACGAAAGACGTTCATGCCCTTGGGAAATTTTTTTTTTTTTGAGCCTAAAACATATTCCTCCAACATTGTTCCTAGAAGGGAAATTCTGTGCAAAACCCTGAAACCACGTGTGGATGCCTTTTCTTGGGAAGACTAAAACATGGGAAAGCAGTTCACACTTGACTCAGATACGCCCTCCCTGAAACATCTATCTCATCTTTTTCAGCATTTTGAACAACGTAAAGGTAAGGCACAGGTTTTTGCTGCTCCCAAAACATTACTAAGCTCTGAGTGGGATCAGCCATCTTCTGGAACTTTAGGTAACATGCTCTCATTCCTGAACACATCCTTACAGGTAATCTCCTGTAGAACTTATACTTAAAATAGAAGTCCACATTGGCCGGGTTGCTTTGTGGGTTTTCATGGGGTGTTTGGGTGTTTGTTTTTTTTTAATTCCACCAATTTAAAATGCACACATCTTGCAAGGGATTCAATGATTAAAGGCAATCTAGTCACTTCTCCTTCGGTCTGACTATATACACTCCCCACCTTAATTTTCAGGATTTAATGCCTTTCAAGGAAATCTTCACAGATGCAGTGTTTATATAAATCCGGTGCCTATTTAAAAACTAATGTTGCAAAATTGTAGCATGCATTTTGTAATGTTGAAAGAGTATCTTTTACAGCTTGTAGGACAGACTTTGTAGCCTCCACCTGAATAAGAGGAGCTCCCTCCTTCTCTCCACAGTCCGCACAGGGACAGGCAAAGGGACAGGGTTAGCCAGAAGAGGGTGCCCAATGATCAAAGTTTCAATCCAGCCTGATGATGCACAAGTTAGCCCACAGGCCTGGCTCTGAGAGAGACGGTGGCAGCCCCAGGCACATCCTGGTCTACCTGGTCCCAGCAACTGAGTGACTGCCCCACCACACACTGTCCTGTCTGCACACCCACGGACCCTGGGCCTTGAACTCTGCTCCCTGACTCTCAGCAGCCCATGATGAGAGTTGCAACCCTGCGGCCCAAGGTCAGGCGGCAGGAGGTGGCCCAGGCAGAGCCAGGAGGCTGACCTCTCGCTGTGAGCCGGCTGTAGGCCTGGCAGTTGACTTCCCTGTCCCGCACATAGCATCGGGTCTCCTCTACGGCCTCTCGGATGACGGTGACGGCCAGCACGAAGCCCTGCGGAGAGAGCACAGAAAGGGTGAGCCCTGCTCAAGGCAACCTTCTTCTTCTGGTACTGGGGACGGAAAAGGCCAGAGGCCACACCGGAGGGCAGCGGGGCAGGGCCTTCTAATTACCCCAAATGCACACTCCCCAGCTAGCCCACTTCTCGGACTCCTTCTTGCACACACGCCCTGCGGAAACACGCCCACACACAGACAGACGAGCAGCCCTATGCACCACCACCGCAGGGCTTCTAAGAGGAAAAGGTGGTCCGTCCACAGGCAGCGACAGAGGGATGACGTCTGCTAACAGTCCACGTGCTGGGTGCCCTTCCAACTAGGCTCCACCCCCACAGCAACCCTCTGCTCACGGCCACTGGGATAGAAGAGCCTCGGAAGCACAGAAAGGCTGAGTCATCTTGCCCAAGGACGGGAAGCTCTAAGTGAAATCTGGCCCAGAGTCCTTGCTCCTAACAGTCATGTTGTTTTGCACCCGGAGAAACCTGGAAGACCTACTAGCCAGTCAGATGGGGCACCAGGAGATGGTTAAAAAGAAGGCGATCCATCCCACGCCCTGACCCACCCAGGAGACAAATCAACTTTTCACAACATACAATGTAACACCGTGCATTTACACAACCAGGGACAGCCACCATCCTCTGGGAGGAGTTCCCCATTTCCTTAACTACTGGCTAGACTCCTCTGCACGGAAGGCACCGAGAGGGAGGAAGGGGCCAAAGGGGACTTCAGTCTTCTCTGTATGGTGTTAAATCCTTATAAAGAGAACACATCCAAGTATTAACTGCACAAGTAGCAACAAATAAAAAAAAAAAAACATTGGAAACTGCCCGACCTTTCCGGGGCCAGGTACCCCAACTCATCGAATTTGGGAGGGAATGGCGTAGGAGTCAGCCATAACCAGAATCTATTTCCATCTAGATTTCTCCTCTCGTGTCAATAAAGGCAAGAACATGCATTCATTTTTCTTACAAAACAGCCTTGTCATCTCCTTTTAAAGTCATTTAAAAAAAAAAATACAGAAAGCATCACCACGCTAAAGGTTAGCAGCAGTGACTCTTGGAGCATTTCATTTTCATACTGTTTACTCTGTGAAATATATTAACTTCGATTCAAAGGACTTTAAATCTCTTCTGTAAATCTAGCCAGAGATGTGCGGCTTTGTCGAACTCCTCCAAGGACTCCTTCATCTTTACAATCAAAGGATTACTCCTGTTTCCAATCAGATCGTGCAGTCCTGGCTGCGGCCAGAGCAAAACTGGCACGTTTCAGAATAAAAGCATCACCAGACGGGGGTGGGGGAGAGAAGACCTGTTCTGGGGGAGCGCAGACCCGGGGTGCACAACTCCTCCCCCTCCCAAGCTGCCGGTTTCCTTGTTCTGGGCCAGAACCCAGGTGCTTGCTGTTTGTTTTTTCAAATGTTCCAGTTTCTACTTCTCTCTGCGTGGGCCCAGCTAAACCCCATTGATGGCTGGTGGAACGTGTGTGCTCCCAAAGAGACCGGAGCCTCTAACCAACCCTGCTGCCTCTTGAATTATCGTATCTGCTCTCCCCCGGCCCTACCCCCAAACACACAGTTCCCATCAATCCCAGGGGACAGGCCATCCCTTAGGGTAGAAAACGCCTTCCCTTCACAAAGAGATACAAATGTAGTCCCGAAATAAATTCCAACTCTGCAGCTAAAGAGGCCCCTCACAGCCACAGATAGTCAGAGAGAGGCTTTAACAGGGAGGCCTGGGGTTGTCTGAGCTTGTAAAGGAATCGGAGGCAGTGACAGCCTCTGATGAGAGCCCAGACAAAGCCATTCTGAAGGTGGTAAGCCTCCCTTTGTAAAGTTGTGCGTCAAAATAGATTTACTAAAGCAAAACAAATCTATGAGCTAGAAATCAGAAAAGCAGTTGCCTCTGGTTCAGGAGGGGGCAACTGGAAAGGGGCATTAGGGAACCAGGGTGATGAAAACGTACTCTATTTTGACCGAGGTGCTGTTTCCACGGGTGCTGACAGATTTCAACGCTCACCACATCGCGGACACAGTATCTGTGCATCTAAGATATTAGTATCCCGAAAATGTTATCAAAAGCTAAATCTTGGGGCGGCTGGGTGGCTCAGTCACTTAAGCATCTGCCTTCAGCTCAGGTCATGGTCCCAGGGTCCTGGGATCAAGCCCCACATCAGGCTTCCTGCTCAGTGGGGAGACTGCTTCCCCCTCTACCCCCTCCTCATGCTGTCTCTTATGTACGCTCTCTCTCTCTCTCAAATAAATAAATAAAATCTTTTTTTAAAAAAAGGATTTTCTGAAATATTTAAAAAAAAAAAAACAAACCCTAGGGGAAATCAGGTGTAGTCACCTAGAAATAGATACCATCTACTTTGTCTTTGACCCCAAACCTCCTTCTCTGCAGCCCCTGGGAAGAGGAAAAACTGCCCTCAGTCCTGGCCTTCACGAGAAAAGCTGGCTGTAAAACGAGGCACAGATGCAGAAGCAGGAAGCTCAGGGCCACCAGCGGCTGCTGCTCACCTGCCTGGTTTCCACCTGCGGCCACAGTTGAGGGAATCAGGTGCATCAGCGGGGAGATGGCAGCAGTGGCAGGGGCCACAGTGACCGCGTGCACCGAAGGTCAGATTTCTCCAGGAAACTCTAGGCATCACTTCAGCAAGGAAACAGAGGCAGGGGCTGGGGCCAGGCCCTCTAATTTAGGTGGGGGGGACTCTCTAGGCCATCGCAACCCCATCACTTGCTCCACCAGCCCCCCTGGACTGGAAAGGAGGGAGATTTTCACCGGGAATGTTTTTACGTTTCATGCACCAAGTGAATGCATTACCTTTCAAATAACTGCACTTCAAAAAGGGAACCATGAAAGGCAATGTGACAAGTTATATTTTATGCACATTAGAGATAAATTTTTTAAAAATAAGCAACTCAGGGTTTGAGTCTGTATAGCTATGTAGTAAACAGTGAAACAAAAAAAAATAAAATAAAATTGGAGCATTTCATATAAAACTCTACAGTTTCTGACTCTGGGGTCTGGCAACTCCAGGCCTACGTCCACACCTACGGGAACAGAGCAGTACATTCTGTATTGGATGGGACAGGAGCTCCCTCGCTCCCCCTTGCTGGACGGTGTCAGCCCAGCCCCTGAGTCTGCAGCCGGCCACTCCCTGGGTAAGGACACAGCGCACAGACCGGGATGCTTGTCATGCGAGGGAAGGATGCAAACAGAAGTTGGCTCCCGCTGCCAGAGTCCTGGCTCACCTACAAACGAGAGCAGGACAGAAGAGTCCGCACATCCCCAGAGGACCTTTCCTGTCCGCGTGGGGAAAAGGACTCCCCTCTCCTTTCGCAGGTCCGGAGCTGCTGGCCGGACTTGTCCACCAACGCGACACAGTGTGGACACCCACGCACTCAGGGATCCCTTAGCAAGTGGCCCCCCTACACGGTAAGTGCCCGGCCACCAAATCCTCATCATCTCCCACCTGCCACTGAAGCAAAAAAAAAAAAGTCTGTTCTTATTTCTTGAAGGAAGGCTTAAATCTTTTCTACTTTAACAGTCTTCTCCCAATTAAAACTTAAACAATATTTGCAAACAGAGAATCCGAGTTCTCCCCCAAGTCCCACCTAACTCAGTGAGAAATAAACAGCCTCTATTTGAAGAAGAGCTGTCAGTTCCACCCTCTCCCCCCCCCCAGTCACGCTGGGCTTCCTTCTGTTCTTCCAGGGCTCTGAGCACATGCCTGCCGCAGGGCCTTTGCACCACTGGTCCCTGTAGTTGGAATACTCCTGCCCTCCTACCCCTCCACCCATCCCTCTCTCAAGAGGCTTTCCAAGGCCACACCAGCTAAGGCCGGCCCCCCACACCTCCTTCCCCCACCTTCATCCATTCAACAAATATTAAACGTGCCTGGGATTGCCCATCTAGCCTGTGACCTCATTCTATAACCTCTGTGGCACTTCCTACAATTCAGAATCATTTCATTCATCTGTTTACAGTCTATCCCCTCTGAAAACCAGCTCCATGAGGGCAGGAGTTTTTATCGGTTTCATTCGGCGCAGCGTCCCCAGCACCCAGCACAGTGCCTGGCACACAGCTGGTGCTCAATAACCACTTGCCAAAAGGAGGGAAGGGAGGGAATGGAGGGGCATTCTGGCCAGTTCCATCTGACTTCATACACAAAGCACAGAACCCGGGACTTTTCAAACCGTCACGCCAACAGACTCTACATAAACAGAAAATGCGATCTCAGAAAACCGTTTCAATAGTATAACCCACAAAGACAGAAACTTCGTCTTTCTTGCTTGCCACTGTGTGCCCAGAGTCTAGAAGGGGGTGAAAGGCACAATAAGTACGCAATACGCAGTAGCTAAAGAAATGAATGACTGAGCAACCGACGGACGGAATGAATCAAGAACGCAGGCTTCACCACACTCTGCTCCTGGGGGTGCCTGAATGGGGGCGTCCACGTGGGGCTGGAGGGAGTCTCCTCTCTTAAAGGGCCTGTTTCAGATGCCCGGGGAACAGAGGCAAAGAAGTGTCTGTTCCCAAAGCCCGGAGGTCACTGAACAAACCAGGCCGACCTACTTACCAGGGGGACCCAGTACGTGTAGAGGGCACCGAGTCTCATCTCAGGGACAAACTGAGAGCAGGCCAGAAGTAAGAAATAGAGGTTGAAGAAGTATTTGAACTGGTTAAACAGCACCTGGAAAGAGGAGAAAGGAGAGAGGGAAGACCGTCAAGCCTTGTCCGGTGGGGTCAGGGGAGGTTTCGCAGGAGGGGAGCTGCCGTGGAAAGCATTCCTACCCAAGAATGCAACGTTCATGGTACCTTCCGTGGAAACCTGAAACACTCCTACAGATTGCTCAGGAAAATACACACGGGCAATAAAAATATCCTTAATCAAAGTAAAAATATACATAATGATACACACGGAAATGATAAATTTCAGGAAGTGTGGGTACCCTGGGAGCTGTGAGGGAAGGCTTCAACTTTATCTGTTATGACTTATTTCTTATGGAATGTGGAGTACAGGTGGGCCCCTCAAAACATGAAGAGGAGGTTTCAGTGGAAAATACCTCTACTCTAAGATTGATCAAGAAAATGAGGTAAGGGGTGCCTGGGTGGCTCAGTGGGTTAAAACCTCTGCCTTCGGCTCAGGTCATGATCCCAGGGTCCTGGGATCGAGCCCCACATCGGGCTCTCTGCTGGGCGGGGAGCCTGTTTCCTCCTCTCTCTCTGCCTGCCTCTCTGCCTACTTGTGATCTCTGTCAAATAAATAAATAAAATCTTTAAAAAAAAAAAAAAAGGAAAGAAAAGAAAATGAGGTAAATCATCATTTCCACAATATGATCTCAACACCATACAGTAAATATAGCAGAATCCCATTCCGTGTGGAGGTGGGTCCCAGCAGAGCCCGGCTGAGCCCACGCACCCTGGGTGTGGGACTGGCGCTGCGGGACTTATCTGGGGCTCTGGGCAGACATGATGCGTCTCTCTGGGGTGAAGGCAACTAGCAGCCATTTTCTGGCTGCCTCACTCCTGCTCAGTCATGGACACGTGGTTGGCCTCGTAGTCCAGAGAGCGCAGCTACAACTCGGAAGACAGTGGTCCCGACTACACCAGAATGTCCATCAATGAGAAATAAACTCTTTCCTGATTTAAGATACTGAGATTTGGGGGGGAGTTGAAGGTAGCAATCGGTGTAGTCGGAGTCACCCTAAAACAACATTCCAACTGACCTTAAGCGACAGCATTACACATTCGTGTTTCTGGACGCTCTCTCAATATATCAAAGAGTCATTATTTTTTTTTCCTTCCAGCACTGGAACTGATTGCTGTTGCTGCTTCTAAAGTCAGCTGGTGTGTGTTTGGAGGCTCTGCTGGATATAAATAGGTATGCAATTTAAGTATGGGGCGCGGGGGTGGGGGGGGGGAGGGAGGTTTGTAGAGTACACATCCGCGGATTGGTCTAAGTTAATGTGGAAATGCGGTGACTTCAGTGCATAAAATACCAAGCAAAACAGAAACATTCATTAGCAAAAATATCCACAGACACTCTCCTTGGATGGCAGGAATGAAACTTACCTCTTAAAAATTTTCTCTATATATCTATCTCCTGACGTTCCTAGGGTGAATGTGCATTTCATGATGGGGGGTGGGGCGTGGAATTTAGGGACTGATGGGTTTTGGGTTTTTATGGGTTTTATGGTTTGGGGTTTTTGGAAGATGAATGGCCAGCGGCTAAGGCAGTCTAGAAAACACACAGGCTGTTCTGCCACAGGGACCTGGGTCTCCTAAAAATGGCCCCTGCCGTACGTACCCCAGGAAGAAAGGTGAAGAAGTTGTACTTCTGGTTGTTGATGACATTTCGAGGGTACCTCTGGTCCCTCTTCTCGGGATGCCCCAACCACACTGTGCGGGGCCTGGGCTCCCCTCCACCACAGCATCTCAGCCACTCGCAGCACCTGTGGGAAAGACAGCGTCACACTGTCAAGGCCACGTCCACACCTGCCCGCTCTTCTCCATATTCTCTCGAGCATCTGCACTGAGTCAGGACAACAGCTGTCTGAGAAGGGAAAACAGAGCCCAGGTTCTAAAAAGCTATGATCCAGATAAAGGCTGGTTTGCGCCCAAGCACAAATTACTTAATTCAAAATGTAAGATCCGTTTTCAAAATGAGATTTAGGTTAAAAAAGTAAAGATACAGCAACACATTAGCACTATTACTTTCACATTTTGCTGATGACAGAGGAAACCTCGAAACAGTTAAATAAGGCACCCAAGGAGGACTGAATTCAGATTTCTACCTCAATTTGTGTCTCCCTAATGGCAATTCTCATTACCCAAAAGAAAGTCTGTTTGCTTTGAAAAAATAAAATAAAAAATAAAGCACCCAAGTTTGCCAGGAGGTGAGAAACAGGGGAGTCTGGCCTTGAACCCCCTCCATCTCATTTGAAAACCTAGTATCTTTCCAGCACCCCATGCTGTCAAGGTTGCTGGTTCCACCAAAATAACCAGGTAAAGGGGGGGGGAAGAATCTCCTCTCCATTCCCAGATCTCCTTTCTGCAGCACTCCAGAGGAGCCAGCCAGGAAGACAATGGCTCAGGGCCTGGCGTCCTCTGGAGCCGGGCCAGATGCCAGCTGCCAGCCCACTGACCACCCCGCCCCCACTCCCCCAGCTGTCTGGACTGTCCTGCGAGGTCAGCTCATGCGTGCACCTGCTCCCGGGTGGCCCGCACCAGGCAGAGCAATGCGGGCAGCTCCAGTGGAACAAAGACACTCTGAAAACACCCCCCAAAAAAGGCAGCTCATCCTTCCGGAAAGCCCATACTCAAAGCATTTCAAGAATCACAAGCCCTCGTAAGCACTGCGATGGAAACACCCCATGCCGAATTGTTGGCCTCTGAACCCCCCCACACACAGGCCAGGAGGGAGAAACCCCAATCCTCCCAGCCCCAAGCAGATAGGGAGATTATGACTTACATAAACACTGGTCAGCCCACCCTTCTCCCCTCTGCCTATGGACCAGGCAGGTCCTGGTGGGGTGCTGGGGTACAGATCTGGCAAACACGGTCCCTGGGCATCAGCAAGCTGCCTGCCCAGGTGCTCAGAACTTCCATGATGAAACACAATGCTCTTTCTTAAAAAGAGCATCTTCGTTCCAGTAAACTGGTGCTCGGGTAGAGTATACATGGCAAGGACAGGTTTCACTTCTAGTAACTCATCTGTGCTGGCTCTGTTCTAAGTTGTCCAAAGGCCAGGGACAGAAGCCTCGAGGAATCCAATTGGTACCCGTGGATGGGAAGCATCCATGCGGGCCATCAGGTGACACAGGCTAAGTGCTGAATGAGCAAAGGAAGCAGGAAGGAGGGAGGGGGGACTCACGGGACAGGGAGCACCACTCTTATTTGGGGAAGCCATCCTGCTGGTAAACCAGGATCTCCCCATCCAGAGCTGAAGAACGGATTTCAGAAAACCAAGCATCAGGTCCGCTGTTTGTCGGCGTTTTGTCTCTGTCATTTTAGCAGGCTCTGCACGGCTATCAGGTTGAGCCATTCATTACTTAACCTGCAGATCTGCCAGGAGCCCAAAGTAGGTGGACCGTCAACTGCAGCCGGCACTGTGGCAGCAAAAGACTGGGAACAAACCTAACTGACTCATGGTGGGGGTTGCTGGTAAAAGGAACATGGAACAGCCACCGTAGTCTTAGCAGAGTCAAGGAGAGAGCGAGCTGTATGCACTAAATGGCCCATTTTGCAAGGTAAGCTAAAGTGAAAAGCAAGAGGCTAAAAGACGTTTCCAGAATGCCATTCTTTGCATGAACGCAAGGGGATACGCACCCAGACATGCTTCAAGTGCAGGAAATCTCCAGCACTGGTCCGCCCTGGGAAGGAGGAAGCAAGGAGAACTTTGTGCTAGGTATTCTTTAGTTACAATGTTTCATATCACCCAGGGACTCAATGCGGCTCCACTCCTCAGAGTAAGCATTATGAACTATCTATTTGGTACGAAGTACTACTCCGGGTCCTGTGGGGACCGAATATTGGAACAGGATCCTTGCCTTCTCCTTCCTCGCAATCCCACTGCAAAACAGGGTAAGTGTTCAGCACAGGATAAAATAAAAACCTCGTGTCACTCGAGCCCAGAATAACTGGCCACAAGGCCATCTCATTTAGCCGATCTGAGGGTCACCGCATTTACTCTCTCCTTGCACCAGCCACGCTGTATACCCCGCACGCTTCCCATATACGATCAATCCGACTCTCAGGTCAACAGTGTTTATTGAACACCAACAACAAAAATAACGTAAGACAAGCAATCACTGCCTCTTTTTTGTCACCTGTTCATTCACCAGCTAGGTCTCATGTGCTCGGTGTGCCGGGCCCACCCCCGGCACTTGGGCATTCAGGTGTGAACACAACAGACAGGTCCTCCCCCCTCTGCAGCTTATACTCTAGTGCAGGGAGACAGACCGTAAACAACCACCCAAAATAAAATAAGGCCTGGGCAAAAGAGGGCGTGGGGGAGGGGTGTGGCTCGGGAAGACTGGGTGGTCAGGGAGGCTGGTGTGACAGCTGGGTGGAGGGACGGGTAGCCACAACCATGCAAGGAAGCAGTCTGGGCACAGTGGAAGGGAGCCCCAAGGGCAGAGATCCAGAGGTGGGAACAAGCCTGGTTACACACCTGCCAAGAAAGACTGATGTTTACCAACCACAGGGGAAAGGGGGAAGGAAAGTGGAAGGAGGAGGAGAGGCCAGAAGACACTGGACCTTGTCTCTGGGGCCGGGAGTCCGGGGTCACTGAAGGGTTACCAGCAGGAGGTGGCGTGATCTGATTGACATTTTTAAAAGTCCCATCTGTGGCTGAGCAGGGAAGACGCGGCAGTGGGTTAAGAGTACAAACAGAGGGGTGTCTGGGTGGCTCAGTGGCTTAAGCCTCTGCCTTCGGCTCAGGTCATGATCTCAGGGTCCTGGGATCAAGCCCCGAATCGGGCTCTCCGCTCAGCAAGGAGCCTGCTTCCCCCCTCTCTCTGCCTCCCTCTCTGCCTGCTTGTGATCTCTCTCTGTCAAATAAATAAATAAAATCTTTTTTTTTAAGTTTTCTTTAAAAAATAAAAAGAGTAAAAACAGATCAAGAGGTGTGAGTTTCCTTTCTGGGTAAATGGGCATGCTCGAATATCGATGGTGGCGACGGTTACACAACTGTACGAATGTATTCAGAATGGTCAATCATACACTTCAGAGAGGCAAATGGCAGGGCATGGGAACTGTGTCTTAATAAACCTTACATTAACCAAAAAAAGTGGAAACAGGGGGGTCATTCAGGAAGCTACTGTCATCAGCAAGGCAGGCAGAGATGGCGGTCCAGAGGAGTGGGGACAGCAGGTCCAGATTTCCAAAATGTTACAGACGTAGAAACGCACTGTCTTTAACCAAACATTAAAAAAAAAAAAAAAAAAAAAAGGCACTGGGGCGCTGGGTGGCTCAGTCAGTTGAGCATCTGACTCTTGATTTCGGCTCTGGTCATGGTTTCAGCTATAGGATCGAACCCCGCGTCAGGCTCCACGCTAGGCAGGATCTGTTTGGGATTCTGTCTCTCCCTCTCCTTTTGCCCCCCACCCCCAACTCACCCATGCTCTGTCTCTAAAATGAGTCAATATATAAAATCTGTTAAAAAATAATTAAAAAAAAAAGAAATGCATTATTTCATTTAACACTCACGATAATCCCGCATGGTATATATGAGCATCGCCCCCATTTTCACAGTGGAGAAACTGAGTCCGAGAGGACTCCGTGATTTGCCAACATCTGTTTGTTCCATGCTGAGTGGGGGAAGCTGGCCTTAAGCCCAGGCCTGTGGGACCCAGATCCTGAGCTGAGAGCCTGAGAGCACCGTGCATTGCCATGAACGGCCTCATCAGCACAATTACTTTCCAGCCTTATTTTTTTCTCCCCAGGCTCTCAACATCTCATAGTGTCAGAGGGATCTTTAGGGGCCCTGAGAGCAGTGGCCGTCATCCTGCTCACGGTTCTCCCACAGGCTCCTCCTCCTGCCGGTTATGAACCCCTTGCCTCTCAGCTCCAGGGCCCGCTTCCCTGCCCGCTCTGGGAAAACGGACAGAGCTCCCTTCTGCGCTCCTCCATGGCCAGCACAATGCTACGCTTTCTCAGTAGAGGACACTGGGGGGACACCACTGGAGGAGAGGGTCTCCTGGGCTTTCCAGGGAGAGACACCCTGTGGATCAGTGGCCTGAGTGGAAGGCCTCCCAATGGAGCTCTGCCCCGCCACCCACCCAGGATGTGCAGTCAGTCCCTTGGAGGCCTCCAAGCCCCACTGCAGAGACTCTCCCGGGGCTCTTGCAACACGAACATCCTGCTTCCTCTGCCACCAGCACCCTGATCCCTCATGTCCATGCTTGTCTCCTGAGGTCCTCCTGTCACTGTAGCCCCCGGTGTCCCAATCCCACTGCACACCCGATGTGTCAACCACCGGCTGGGCCCGTCGCCCCACCTGCACCGCCAGATCACTTTCTGCTTGCCCCGTGCCCGCAGACCAACTCTCACCCTGCCTTCCAACAGCCTGATCTTTTTATTTTAAGGATTTCATTTATTTATTTGAGAGACAGCACAAGTAAGCAGAGTGGCAGGCAGAGGGAAAGGGAGAAGCAGGCTCCCCGCTGACCAGGGAGCCTGATGCAGGGCTCGATCATGGACCCCAAGATCATGACCTGAGCCGAAGGCAGACACTTCACCAACTGAGCCACCCAGGCACCCCGGGCAGCCTGAATTAACACCATCTCCAACCACATCTGTACCCCCCGCCCCGCCTTGGAGAAAGGCCACCTCCCAAGTGCATCCTTCCTTGGGTCCACTCCCTCAGCTTCAACTACCCCAGTGTCCTCCTCTATCCTATAATTACCCTTTATCCTCAGTAATTTACTAAGTCACCTCCCTCCATCTCCCC